TTAGTCCTGAATCCAAACTGAGAAGGGTTGAGCAAGTCTTGAGAGACGAGGTAGGAATAGATCTGCCTATGAATTAATTTTTCAAAGATTTTTAGAGAGCAGATTTAAGTTAGATATTGGTCTATAGTTATTCAAGTCTGTTTGATCTCCTTTGTGAATTGGGGTGACCCTCGCTATTTTGAGAATTGATGAGAAGGTGGAGGATTTGATGGATTTGTTAAAGAGTGTTGCAATAATTGGTGACAGTACTTGAGAAGCTTTTTTGTACATAAATGGTGGTAAGTTATTTACATCTCCTCCCTTGTTTTAAAAGGTGGTGATGATTGAGACATCTGTTGGGGTGGTTGGAGCTAGAAATAGTGTATTCAGGTAGGTACCCATAAGTTAGTCTCATGGACGGGTGTTTGAGCTTGGGATTTTGCTTGCTAGATTCTTTCCTATGGTGGAGAAGAAAACATTGAATCTGTTTGCTGTCTCAGTTGGTGAGAGTAGGGGTTCGCTATTTTTTTAATTTCACTGTTTTGTTTTGGATATCTTTTTATTCCTCAATTTTTCAGATGGGGGTTTTCCCAGTTTTTTTTCTCATATCCCTTTCAAGTTATGTAAGCTGTTTCATAAACAATTTTTTTTGACCCCCTTTTCAGGCGGGAAAAAGGTTTGACAAGTAACGTTTAGAATAGCCCCGGGTTTTATTTGGCCCATTTTTAACTGTTTTTCTATGGGTGCTTTGTGTAATGGTTTTTTAAGGATGCAAAAATGGCCGGGTTGATAGCCCCTGTTCCATCACAAGGTTTTCCCCAGACCAGATTTAGTACTAATTTGTACATAAAACCCCAAAATGGGAAAAGTGTCTTTTTCAGATCACTGCACACTTTTTTCTAACAAGATAAATTAAAAAAACAAGTCAACAAACATTTTTTAAAATCCCTTTTTAGCATTACAATATAAGCAAGAAACAAAGAAAAATAACATCCTGTTTAAAAAACAAACCCAAAAAGCAGAACAAATTTTGATTTAAAAATTGTAACCCGACACAGAGCCCTTTATCCTTTATAGCACAGAAAGCTTACAAATTAAGAATATTCATAAATTAAGAACACATCGTTGCTAAATTTTTTTTTAATCTGTCATTTTTTTTTAAGTACAGCAAAGCCATCCCTTTACTTAAAAAAAAAAAAAAAAGTTAAGGAAATTTGCTTTAAAGAAGAGGGTATGACCCTGGGGGTTTTGTGCTTTGTTTTTTACAATGATAAATTCTTTAAAATTTTTTAAAGGTCCAACAGATCGACGTTCAAAAATTTGTAGGGTACAAAAAGTAGACACTTTTTTTTTTCATTTTTCAAAAAAACAAAAAAAAAAAAGAGATAAGTTTTTTTTTTTACGTTTTCAAATGTAAAAAAAAAAATCTCATTTTTTACAGCTTTAATGTTGAAAAAACGTAATATACATTTGGGCCATTTTAAGGGGTTAAGATATGACCCTTGGAACACAGCTATAATAAATGGATATGTTGCTTGCTGAGGTAAAAAAGGCATGCAAAACCTTACACTAGTCAAATCTAGAATCACGTACAAACTTCTAGAATTCTTTTTAAACGGTGGTAAACACGTGTGGTTTGCTTACATTAAATTTTCACCCACCTTCCCATCACGACAATCAAATTACTTGAAAAATATGAATGGCAAAAGTAGATTTCACTGAAAATGCCCTTGATGGTACAGTTAAAATAAGAGATACAACCAAATATTTTAAAATCCAAAAAAAATTCATTTACAGTAGGAGATGGCTGCCCTGCTTATGGCATTTTTCCCTCATGGCATTCCGCTAATACGTATAGAGATTTCAAATTATGACCAAAACTTGCTATACAGCAACCTGTCTTTTTAATGCAGTATGCCCCACCCAGTTTTACATTTTCTGTGAGCACATACATCTATTATGTCTGGAAACTTTCCAAAATTTCAAGTGTTTTAAAGTTATTGCATATTTTATATGTACTCTGATAATAATACTTGTGTACCTGTACCTAAATATACTTACACACTGTGCTGGCATGTAGGTACACATTAAATCACTGAGTGTCCCTCTAATCTTAACGCCATGGTAATACTAATAGGACGTAATATTAATCACTCTTGGGCACATTAAATATCTTATTTTACGTTAATATAGATATTTTCATTAATCCATCTATGATATTTCTTCAAAATTATATAAAAACCACGTTACATAGCAAATAAACATCCTATGTTTTTATATGCTATGGAAGTGTGGTAGCCGGGCGGCTAGGGAAAACATTACTTTTTCTTGGTCCCTCTGTCCAGCACCAGAGAAAACTTGTATGAATCTGAGTTTGGTCCAGGCACTCCCTTAACACACTTTTATTTACAATTCTCGACATGAATTATTCATTACTTCTCCCAATGTTTGTGATGGCATCTAAAGGTAGCTGCTGGAAACGATTAAACTCGGTGAACAAGGTATGTGATGGTAATCAAATGGCTCTGGGCTGCATTAAATATCATATAGCTATGTATGTAGGTGTAGCCCAGGTGGGCTACATCTACCAGCTACCTACACCTGACTTCCTACAAATAAATACTACTCGCCTCTCATTCTACATTAAGACTACACATTTTAAGGTAAATAATGAGTGTACTGCATGTGTATTTTCTCTGGGCTGCTTTAATATTAAGTTTGGGACGGGGAGCCAGGGCTGCCTACACCTGACTTCCTACAAATATTTACTACTCGCCTCTTGCCCTACATTAAGACTACAAATATTTTAAGGTAAGTAATGAATTTATTGTGTATGTACTTTACTTTTTATTGTTTTTTTAATGCCTAGTTCTATTACTAACTTTATACATGTTGGTGTAAACTTGTCTGGCATTTATATGCATTTATAAGTGAAAAAATGGTGTTCTGCTGTCTGGCAATCTCTGCTTTCCAGCAGTAGCCTGGAATCTAACCTTCCATATAAGTGGGGCCCTACTGTAATCAGGAGGGCCTTATTCAGTTCATAAGTGTGTTTTATGCTCCTTTTAAGAGAGGGAGAAAGGAAGGGAAAGAAAGTGTCTGTGTAGTCACCTACATAATCAATTGTACATGGCTGCTGGGGTAGTCTTAGCTCCTGGGTCTGCCTTTCAACTTGCTGCTTGCCTGATTCACTCCTAGCCTCATGGGCCCTATCATACCTATTCTTAAAACTATGTATGGAGTTTGCCTCTACTACTACGGGGTCATTCCACTTCCCAAATATCCCTGACTCGTCTGTGTCTTTAGCTTACAGCTGTGCCCCGAAGTATCGGAGGGACGTCCCTTATGTTGCAGTGTATAGAGGCGGGGGTGCTAGAGGAGTGGGTGGTACGTTTCCCACCTCTCAAACAGCCTTCTCTCTACCTTATCAATTCTCTCCGAGTATTTTGTAAGGTCTACCCTGGTCCTCTAGGGTCATTCAATTTAGTTCCTTTAGCCTTAACTCATAGCTCATACCACTTAGACCTGGAACTAGTCTCAATGCATACTTCACCTTTCTCAAGTTTCTTAACATGCTTCCTCAGGTGAGGGTTCCATGCTGGTACTGTGGACTCTAAAAGATGGGCTTGACACATTGACACACCCAGAATGACTGCTGTGATTCCGAAGACTGCGAGAGGTTAGATCACTAGAGTGAGAGCCTCTGCAACACGATAGAGAATATTTTACTCCAAGTCCTATCCCTTTGAATCAGGTCTACAGCCTCTGTACCCAGAGTGTATACTCTGTCCAGCCTTCTGACTTCTTCCCTGAGCCTTGCATTTGTTGGGGTTCAAGCCATGCAACCATTTAACTGATTAACCCTGCAGTTTGCCCAGATTCTTTGCAACCTTTCTCCATCCTCATTTGTTTGTATTCACATTAGTTTTACATCAGCAAATAGATACACATCTGACTTGATTTTATCTTGTATGCCATTCACAAACAAGGAACAGCACTGGTCATAATACTGATCTTTGTGGTATGCCACTTGTTACTCATCCCTAGTCTGACATATCTTCCCAGACAGTTGCACTTTTCCTAAGGTACTCCTTGATCCACCAGAGTATGATCTCAGTTATTCCTGCCTGCTTCCCAAGTTTTTGCCTCGGTTTTATGTAGAGTACAGCATCAAATGCTTTCTTGCAGTCTAAGAAAATGCAATCTGCCCAACCCTCCCTCTGCTGCCTCACTTGTGATACCTTGTTATAGAATTACAGAAGGTTGGTAAGACTAGACTTGCCATCTCTAAACCTGTGCTGGTCATTGTTTATGTAACCACTCATCTCCAAGTGCTTTGCCACTATCTTCTCCATTACCTTGCATGGTATACATGTCAGCAAAACTGATCTATTGCTTTTCTTAAATATAGGTACTATGTTCACTGTTGTTCAGACCTCTGGCCTCTGTCCTGTGGTCACTGACTTATTATAGCTGCTGATTCGGTGCTTTTGCTCCCTTTCACAGAATCCACAATGGCACACTGTCAGGACCCATCGCTTCTGATATATCTTACTCCAATTTTTTTTTTATACCTCTACCCCTATTGTGTGTATTGTCCAGTAGTTGTTAATATACTCTTTCCATTGGGCATTTTGGCATTGCCCATTTTCACTATCGTTAAATCTTTTCAGTACTTCACAAACTTCCTAGTTATTTTCTGTGAGCTCTCCTCAGTCAACTTGCATGGTCTTTTACCATTGTGTTTGTGGCTGTGTGAAGCAGTGTTGGGTCAAACTTAACCTTGGCTGCTATGATTCTCAAATTGTTACTAAGCCTCTCTCCTTGCCCTTGCATATTCATTTCTGGCTAAACTGCTCACTTCTTTTCTCATCCGTCTTTTGCTTCCTACAGTGTGTACTTGTCTATATGTGGATACAGCTCCTGGCCCCACCTCTCAACTTGCCAGATTCACTCCCTCCTAGTCTCATGGCTCCTATCATACCTGCTCTTAAAGCTATTGTCTCCATTTATTTATCAAGGTCTAGGGAGTGCTCAACAATGAAGCTCATGGGAGAATTCAAATCTGATCCAAGAAAAGTAAAGCAGTCCAATTCCATGGATCAAATGCCCCTCAACGAATATTCTAAGAGGAATATGGCATAATGCCAAAAGTATTTAAACTGAGTATATACTTCCTTGTCTGTGGCTTACTGCATACTGTATTTTGTCTGACAAAATCTCCATGTCGACCTGATTCAATACCAATTAGTACTCTTCATAATTTTCCAGTTTATGAATTGGTAATTTAAGCAAACTTAAATCAAAACAAAACTAAAACCTGTTAAGAAAGCAATTTTAAAAAGATACTGTATCATTTCAATTTGGTACAGAGATTTACAATATTTACTGTAAACCTATTATCTTGAAGGAAAATAAACATTTGACAGTTTAGCCTTTTGTATTTCCTTCAGTGCTGTATAGCCCTTGTGGCTTAGCGCTTCTTTTTTATTATAATGTATTTAATTCAGAAATAAATAAGGATGACAGACTTAGGCAAAAACCATAAGTATGTTCAAACATATGGTTGACTGACCATAGAATGGCATACAAATTTAATTACAAGCAATTATAGTTAAATTGTATTATATAACTTTAATAAGAGAACTAAAAACCAGCCCTATTTTTATTCAGTGAACATACAAACATCCCAAACACAAGAGACGAGGCCGGTTTCTTTACAGTAATTAATATATATTAATATATATATTAATATATTAATATATATTGTAGGTAGTAGGTTGGTAGACAGCAACCACCCAGGGAGGTACTACCGTCCTGCCAAGTGAGTGTAAAACGAAAGCCTGTAATTGTTTTACATGATGGTAGGATTGCTGGTGTCTTTTGTCTGTCTCATAAATATGCAAGATTACAGGCATGTCTTGCTACTTCTACTTACACTTAGGTCACTACACATACATGTATACATTTATTTATACACACTCATCTGAGTTTTCTTTGATTTTATTTTAATAGTTCTTGGTCTTATTACTTTTCCTTTTATATCCATGGGGAAGTGGAATAAGAATCTTTCCTCCGTAAGCCATGCGTGTTATAAAAGTCAACTAAAATGCCGGGAACAATGGGCTAGTAACCCCTTTTCCAGTAAAGATTACTAAAAAGAATAAGAAGAAGAAGAAGAAAATTGTCAAAGTGGGAAGTCTGAATGTGCGTGGATGTTGTGCAAATGATAAGAAAGAGATGATTGTGGATGTTATGAATGAGAAGAAACTGGATGTCCTGGCTTTAAGTGAAACAAAGCTGAAGGGGGTGGGAGAGTTTCAATGGAGAGGAATAAATGGGATTAGGTCAGGGGTTTCAAATAGTTAGAGCTAAAGAAGGAGTAGCAATAATGTTGAAGGATAAGCTATGGCAGGAAAAGAGGGACTAAAAATGTATAAATTCAAGGATTATGTGGAGTAAAATAAAGAATGGATGTGAAAAGTGGGTTATAGTAAGCATGTATGCACCTGGAGAAGAGAGAAGTGTAGAGGAGAGAGAGAGATTCTGGGAAATGTTGAGTGAATGCATGGGGAGTTTTGAATCAAGTGTGAGAGTAAGGTGTTTGGGATTTCAATGCTAAAGTGGGTAAAAATGGTTTATGGAGGGATTAGTAGGTAAATTTGGGGTGCCAGGAGTAAATGTAAATGGGGAGCCTTTAATTGAGCAATGTGTAGAAAGAAATTTGGTAATAAGTAATACATATTTTATGAAAAAGAGGATAAATAAATATACAAGGTAATGATGTAGCACGTAATGAAAGTAGTTTGTTAGATTATGTATTGGTGGATAAAAGGTTGATGGGTAGGCTCCAGGATGTAATGTTTATAGAGGGGCAACTGATATATTGGATCATTATTTAGTTGTAGCTACAGTTAGAGTAAGAGGTAGATGGGAAAAGAGGAAGGTGGCAACAACAAGTAAGAGGGAGGTGAAAGTGTATAAACTAAGGGAGGAGGAAGTTCTGGCGAGATATAAGCGACTATTGGCAGAAAGGTGGGCTACTGCAAAGATGAGTAGTGGGGGGGTTGAAGAGGGTTGGAATAGTTTTAAAAATGCAGTATTAGAATGTGGGGCAGAAGTTTGTGGTTATAGGAGGGTGGGGGCAGGAGGAAAGAGGAGTGATTGGTGGAATGATGAAGTAAAGGGTGTGATAAAAGAGAAAAAGGTAGCTTACGAGAGGTTTTTACAAAGCAGAAGTGTTATAAGAAGAGCAGAGTATATGGAGAGTAAAAGAAAGGTGAAGAGAGTGGTGAGAGTGCAAAAGGAGAGCAGATGAAAGAGTGGGAGAGGCACTGTCAAGAAATTTTAATGAAAATAAGAAAAAATTTTGGAGTGAGTTAAACAAGCTAAGAAAGCCTAGGGAAAGTATGGATTTGTCAGTTAAAAACAGAGTAGGGGAGTTAGTAGATGGGGAGAGGGAGGTATTAGGTAGATGGCGAGAATATTTTGAGGAACTTTTAAATGTTAAGGAAGAAAGGGAGGCAGTAATTTCATGCACTGGCCAGGGAGGTATACCATCTTTTAGGAGTGAAGGAGTGAAGAATGTAAGTGTGGTGGAGGTATGTGAGGCATTACATAGAATGAAAGGGGGTAAAGCAGCTGGGAACTGATGGGAAACATGACAGAAAATGTTAAAAGCAGGGGGGAAGGGTATAGTGTTGGAGTGGTTGGTACTTTTGTTTAATAAATGTATGAAAGAGGGGAAGGTACCCAGGGATTGGCAGAGAACATGTATAGTCCCTTTATATAAAGGGAAGGGGGACAAAAGAGATTGTAAAAATTATAGAGGAATAAGTTTACTGAGTATACCAGGAAAAGTATATGGTAGGGTTATAATTGAAAGAATTAGAGGTAAGACAGAATGTAGGATTGCAGATGAGCAAGGAGGCTTCAGAGTGGGGTAGGGGATGTGTAGATCAAGTGTTTACATTGAAGCATATATGTGAACAGTATTTAGATAAAGGTAGGGAAGTTTTTATTGCATTTATGGATTTAGAAAAGGCATATGATAGTGGATAGAGGAGCAATGTGGCAGATGTTGCAAGTATATGGAATAGGTGGTAAGTTACTAAATGCTGTAAAGAGCTTTTATGAGGATAGTGAGGCTCAGGTTAGGGTGTGTAGAAGAGAGGGAGACTACTTCCCGGTAAAAGTAGGTCTTAGACAGGGATGTGTAATGTCACCATGGTTGTTTAATATATTTATAGATGGGGTTGTAAAAGAAGTAAATGCTAGGGTGTTCGGGAGAGAGGTTGGATTAAATTATGGGGAATAAAATTCAAAATGGGAATTGACAGTTACTTTTTGCTGATGATACTGTGCTTATGGGAGATTCTAAAGAAAAATTGCAAAGGTTAGTGGATGAGTTTGAGAATGTGTAAAGGTAGAAAGTTGAAAGTGAACATAGAAAAAGAGTAAGGTGATGAGGGTATCAAATGATTTAGATAAAGAAAAATTGGATATCAAATTGGGGAGTAGTAGTATGGAAGAAGTGAATGTTTTCAGATACTTGGGAGTTGACGTGTTGGTGGATGGATTTATGAAGGATGAGGTTAATCATAGAATTGATGAGGGAAAAAAGGCGAGTGGTGCGCTGAGGTATATGTGGAGTCAAAAAACGTTATCTATGGAGGCAAAGAAGGGAATGTATGAAAGTATAGTAGTACCAACACTCTTATATGGATGTGAAGCTTGGGTGGTAAGTGCAGCAGCGAGGAGACGGAGGCAGTGGAGATGTCCTGTCTAAGGGCAATGTGTGGTGTAAATATTATGCAGAAAATTCGGAGTGTGGAAATTAGAAGGTGTGGAGTTAATAAAAGTATTAGTCAGAGGGCAGAAGAGGGGTTGTTGAGGTGGTTTGGTCATTTAGAGAGAATGGATCAAAGTAGAATGACATGGAAAGCATATAAATCTATAGGGGAAGGAAAGAGGGGTAGGGGTCGTCCTCGAAAGGGTTGGAAAGAGGGGGTAAAGGAGGTTTTGTGGGCGAGGGGGCTTGGACTTCCAGCAAGCGTGCATGAGCGTGTTAGATAGGAGTGAATGGAGACGAATGATACTTGGGACCTGACGATCTGTTGGAGTGTGAGCAGGGTAATATTTAGTGAAGGATTCAGGGAAACCGGTTATTTCATATAGTCGGACTTGAGTCCTGGAAATGGGAAGTACAATGCCTGCACTTTAAAGGAGGGGTTTGGGATATTGGCAGTTTGGAGGGATATGTTGTGCATCTTTATACGTATATGCTTCTAAACTGTTGTATTCTGAGCACCTCTGCAAAAGCAGTGATAATGTGCGAGTGTGGTGAAAGTGTTGAATGATGATGAAAGTATTTTCTTTTTGGGGATTTTCTTTCTTTTTTGGGTCACCCTGCCTCGGTGAGAGACGGCCGACTTGTTGAAAAAAAAAAAAAAAAGTAAAAAATAAATAAAATTGCAGGGGCATATGGTGGCTACAATTTTAAAACAAGATTCGCCGAATAGAATTATTATAATCAAGGGAGAAGTGCCGAATAGAAATGCTTTGGATCATTTTTTAAATGAGGAAGTGTCCTTTTGCGAAATTTTTTTGAGGGCTCATTTTTAAAGAACTGACTTTACTGTACAATGGTCCCTCGAGTTATGATATAAATTCATTCCAGAAGACGTATCGTACTCCCAAACTATCAGAACTCCAACCACAAAATCCATGGTTTTATGATTTGCTCCAAGACCCTGGATGTACAACTGCAAACTGTACCTTGCACCGTCAGATATAACTTGAAGGCACTGTCTCCTTTCATCATCTGCTCTCTTGTACATAATTACAAGTCTTTCCATCTATTATGAATTTTTTTTTTCACTAGCTTAGAATCATTAGCCACTTTAATATTCTTTATTATTTCTTTTTGCTTGATAATAATAGAGATGGGTGTTTGTGGAAAGCCTTACTTATGAACAATACACTAATTTCTTGCTTGATCTTCAGAGAAATGGCCTGTTTACTGGGCACTTTAGAAGCCATGATGATTTGTTAACAAATGAACTTTAGTACAAACACTGCTATTGGGTGACATGCTATCATACACACATTCAACCCTGTTGCTGATTGGTAGCTAAGCCACCCTCAGAGACCCCCTACTCTTAGTATCTTAGACATTGTTGAAGCAGCAAGCTACCAAATCACTGGATGGCCAAGGCCCACCCATACGAGAACTGATGCTTCTATTGGCTCAAGTGCTGCCCAAGAGGCAAGCTGCTACTATGCTGGTTGGCTGAGGGCCACCCATGCATTCCAACTATAATAATAATAATGTGTAAGGGGTTAATGCTTTAGGTTCAAACCCCATTATGCTTGGCATAATAATTATTTATAGAGCATTTTTGGGTAACTTTGGTCAGTTTTGTTCCTCAGGATGACACAATAGTCATACCATCATACACACATCTTCGATTTTTAATCGCAACTCCGAACAAAATTTCTCGAGGTTAAATCATAACCCCAAGGACCACTGTGTACATTTTTTTTTTTTTTAATCTTGGTGTACCTTAATATTCAGTGGGATACGGCCAGTTTGTTGAACGAAGACCATATCTCTTATAATGAGCTGCCATGATTCTATGTTCTTACAATAAGTAATTATAATGTAACTGGAGTTCTGCTTATCTGAAACTTACAGTATTGAAATAATAAAGGCCCAAGAAAATAGTCATGAACCTCAAAGATACCACAAATAACAGCATTAATGACTGATGCTCATTCATTAATACTGAGAAAAGGACTGATAATGACTACCAATAAACATAATGATGCTACATTTAGAATAAGTAGTGTGCACTTAAGTTTATCCTATAGTGTGATGCCATGGTGCTACCATACCAATCACTCCACTGTGCTCCTGACTGCCTTCTTCTAGCTGTAAGAACACTGATCTACAGCTTCGAGTGTCACCAGAGCCAGGTCTTGCATAAAGAACCTGGTCATATCCACATGGAATTTCATCCTATACCAGGATGCCTCTGCACTGTATCTGCAGAATGCGGAAGCAACGTACTGTTGCTGTGCATGAATGATCATCCTGAGAGGACTGAGGTGGCTGTTTCTGCCACAAGAGTGGTTATAAGCTGATCATCAAGATTTCTAGAAAAGGCTAACTCAGGAGTACACATCCTGCCACCAGAGGAAAATTCTACTCGGGTGGCAGGATGGCCTGAACTCAAAAACCAAATATGGATGAGTGTCACACTCCACACAAGCATGGAACTGATTCCATCTTATGTTAGAAACTTTTCTAGATATATTGCTAAGTGGCAAATGCCTATATGTGGCAATATTGTAAGCAATATTTTTCTTGGAATATGCAGCTGACTTTTGCACTAAAGCTAGTCTACCTATAACAGGGACAACTATCCCAAGAAAGATAAAATAGATGAACTGGAGCAGTTGGCATCCTCTTGACATTACATAATGATGGCACTTAAATGGAATACTTTTTCTCCCCTTTGAGTACCTCCACTCTACTGTATGCCTGGATTTTGTAATACAGCCAGCTACGAGAGAGAGGTGCTCAGCAGGGTAACTTTCTGAATTAGTGCCAGAGGTCAAGAGAGTCTCATTCTGCCCACCATGGGGGACGATTCCCTAACTTGGGAACCTATTGTAGAGGGCATAAGTCAGGTCATACCCCTGAAGACGACAGATCTGAATATCATCAACATCATAATCGGAGTACTGTGGCACACTGCAGTTGTCATCATCTATGCCAAGGCTTGCATCATTCTCCTGTGAAAATGAACAATGACATGCTTTATATATTATACACTACAGCATTTTACATATAAATATTAGGAGAGAATATTATTTATTAAAGACGAGTGCCAAACCAGTATGGGTTATACAGTGCAGAGTCGATACAAGTTGTTAGGGTAGGGGCTTTGTGGAGCTGAGGGTTAGTAAAGGAGTAAAATTAACATAGTTGAGGTAATAGGTTAATTTCTGTTAAATAACTGAGGAAGTGTGTTAAAGGTGGAACTTTCAAAGAGGACAACAATTTAAGTGTGATAATCAGGGCACTCAAGAGGTCAAAAGTGAATTCAGCTTACTCCCTCTACATAGGACGAAATTAATGATACTGTCAGAGCTATCTGGCATTCCTCACAAAAAGTTCTGGGCATCGTTCCACATGGTATCTTTCAAGCTGTTTTTTTAATCAAGGAATAAAAACAAATAGAAATAACATTAACTATATAAGTGGGCTCTTCACAGGAAAAAATGCATTGTTTGCAGCTTTCACAGACATACAAGGATGTTTTGGAAGGGGAGTTATGGGTGAAGAATTACAATTTTTCTAGATCTGACAGTGAACAGATCACTGGGAGTAGGTCTCAAAGTGAGACACTATGTTACATAGAACTGATGAAATCAACAAATGATATAGCAAGAAATACTGGATACTTAAGTGGAGAAAGTCTATACTGATTATCCTCGTAAATTAACCAGCATCAGCAACACCTGAGGAATTCGTGAAACTTGTAAGGAAAAAGAGATACTTGAAAAACTTGGGAAATCATGCACTACACATTATTGTCCTCGGAGATTTCAACCTCCCAAATTTGAAATGGAAGATGGTTAATCAGAGTTGTATAAAATAGGCCTATAGAAAGACAAAGCTATGGACTGATATTAAATATAAGCAACATGTCACACCTTCCAAAGACATGAGAGCTTGCAAGCAGGTGCCCATGGATGAAGTATGTCAACTGCCCAATCCTCAGTGTACAGAGAATACTTTTAGACTGTATAAAAAGGAGAAAGAACAACAGGTTCAAAAAGTAAAGGAAAAAAGACCAAGAAAGAGAAAAAACAAAAAGATCAGATGTGGAGGATGAGCAGCAGAAACAGAAGGATTAGTAGTTATAAGCAAATGCTCATGAATTAATATGAATGAAAACACTAAAATACAATGGAACCTACCACACTTGTGAAGAAGGTCAGCACAAACTGCTTGGGTCCAAAGGTAGAAACCACACGAGCAATAAGGTCCTTGTAGGACTTCTGAGGAACGTTGGTCTCAAAGGAAACATATGAAAACTCTGGTTCAGGTGTGATGTGGATTGTCATGTATCCTCCCTAGAAAATATAATAAAAAATATTGTATAATTTTAGAGCAGACTCAAACATTTCTAAATTCAACATCCTTCATGACTGATGTAGGTGAAGGTTTCTTGATCAAAAAAAATTTGAATTACCCTCCCTCACCTTGGATCAAGTCAGGATACCTCCAATTACCCAGGTATTGTATGACCCCTACAGGTTTAGCACTTCCTCATTTATTTTTTTTTAACCCATCGGCTGTCTTCCACCAAGGTAGGATGACCCAAAAAATGAAACTTTCACTATCACTCGTGCCATCATCGTCTTGCCAGAGGCACATTTCTGCAGAGAGTTACTGAATACAGAAGGTCTTGCTTGACAGCGTTTTGCTAAGGCAGCGGTTTTCAATTACATCCATTCTTCAGTTTTTCAGACTTCCTACAATAAATATATTCATCACTCACTATAAGACAAGGAAGAAAATATTTTAAGTAATGTGTATACTGTATATGCACTTTCTTTTTTTAGGCCTAGCTCTATTGGGCACTTAATAAATGATAGCATAAATATGTTAGTAGGCTTTTATATACAGTGGACCCTCGACTAACGCTATTAATCCGTTCCTGAGAGCTCATCGTTAGTCAAAATAATCATTAGTCAAGTTAATTTTCCCCATAAGAAATAATGGAAATCAAATTAATCCAGGCAAGACACCCAAAAGTATTGAAAAAAATTTTTTTAACATGAAATATTAATTTTAATACACACAAACTGAAGAAGACATGCACAGTTACATGACACTTATCTTTATTGAAGATCTGGTGATGATTGATGGGATGAGAAGAGGGGAGTGTGTTGATGGTCTTAGTGTTTAGAAGGGGAATCCCCTTCCATTAGGACTTGAGGTGGCAAGTCCTTTTTTTCGGGTTACTTCCCTTCTTTTAAATGCCACTAGGACCAGCTTGGGAGTCACTGGACCTCTGTCACACAACATATCTGCCCATAGAGGCCTGTACCTCCCGTTCCTTTATGACATTCCTAACTTGTTTCACAACATTTGTCAGTGTCACCATTAAACACTGTTTCAGGTTTCAGTCCTTCACTGTCTATGTACTTCTTGAATTCCTGCACATATTTTCAGCTGCTTTTTGGTCCAAACTGGCAGCCACACCATGCCTTATCACACTATGTATGCCACTACGATTCTTAAATCTCTCAAACCAAACCTTTGGCTGGCCTTAAATTCACTCACAAATCGCCTCTAGTTGCTGGTATTTTTCTAATTAAATCATCATGCAACTTCCTAGCCTTTTCACATATGATCGCTTGAGAGATGCTATCTCCTGCTATCTGTTTTTCATTTATCCATACCAATAACAGTCTCTCAACATCTTCTATCACTTGCGATCTCAGTTTCGAAAACATAGTTGCACCTTTGGCAAGAACAGCTTCCTTGATTGCCATTTTCTTGGCCACAATAGTAGCGATGGTTGATTGGGGTTTTGTGTACAGCCTGGCCAGCTCGGAGACATGCACCCCACTTTCATACTTAGCAATGATCTCTTTCTTCATATCCATAGTAATTCTCACCCTTTTTGCTGTAGGGTTGGCACTAGAAGCTTTCTTGGGGCCCATGGTGACTTATTTTGCAGGTGCAATCACTAAAAAGGCTGTGATAATATGAAATGTTCCGATTGTATGCTTGGAAGCGACCGCGGTGGCTGGCTGGCTTGTAAACACTGGCCAGAAGTGGACGCGTCTCAGACGGAAGGAATAGTGTTGGTCGAGTTTTTTAGTGCTAATCGAGGCAAAATTTTTTCGATAAAAATGTATCGCTAGTCAGATTTATCGTTAATCGATGCCATCGCTGGTCGAGGGTCCACTGTACATTTAAAAGTGGAAAAAAAAAAAAGGTTATGTTTCACTTTACAGCAATTTTTGCCATACAGCAGTAGCCCAGAACCTAACCTGCTGTATGAGTGGGGTCTTCCTGTGGTAAATGTGTTTTCTTTTTGGGGAGGGGGAGGACACCCTATTGTAGACAAAGAATGCAAGCATGGTTAAAAAACAAATCAGAATATCAAATACAATATGGGATTGTCATTTTGCTAACATATAGGGTATTTAACCCTTAAACTGTCCAAACGTAGACCCACGTTTGTACCTCTAGCGCTCCAATCGTAGATCTATGTTTTATTTTTTCTGCCTCCAAATTTGGCCTGAGATGCCTGGTCAGTATAGAATGGGTCTTAACACTTGGTGTGCGCAGTATTAACCCTTTGAGGGTCGAGACCCTTTCTCCTGAACTCCCACTCAAGGTCGAAAAATTTTCAAAAAAAAAAAAAAAAAAAAAAATTCTTTTGAGAAGTTCAGAGGATCTTTTCCCTATGGTGATGGCACCAAAAGTGTGAAATTTGATGGAAAGCTTACGGAATTATGCTCTTGCGAAGTTAGAGGTCTTGACGATATCTATGCATTGGCGATTTCGCCCACTTTGAGCCCTATTTTCAGCCAATTGCAAGGTTCCATTTGACTAAAATCATAGCTATTTCACGAACTCCATTTGTTCTATCGATTGTTTACATGAAACCGCCCATTTACCAATTTTAACTACCCAATAAAGTGGTCAGAAATTGGCAATTTGGTCAATTTCACAAATTTCAAAAGATGCCAATTTCAAAATAGGGTCCAGAATAAACAAGACAGACATTCCTGGCACTAAAATAACATTTTCTCTGTTCATCAGTCATGTCTCCAGCCCCCGCTTATATTACTCTTACTTTCCATTTTGAATTTTTATTCTTACAAAAAACAGAAGATTTACTGTTATGCAGCCTACTGCATTATTGTAAAAATGGTATAAATAATATCAGTGCAATTGTGAAAGAATATTAGACTCCCCAGTTGATGTGTATTGGACGCGTGGCATGATTTGTTTACTCTTGAACATCGGCAAAAACTGAACATTTCAGCTACTTGGAGCTCAATTTCAATGTACTTTTCCTTGTGAAACCGACCAAAATCATCTCTATTTCTGTAACATATCTTCCATTCTATCAAATGAGCCCAAGAAAACGAGAATACAACAAAAAATACACTGCAAAGTCGCTGTTTTAAACCAAAAAGATGGTCGGAGTTTTTTTTTCTCATTATGCACTGCGTGCTGCAGGTTTTTTTTTTTTTTATACTGCACACAATGACCATGCAGACCCATTCTTTCATATGTAAGTCTACCAGCTTTCTTCCATCAGATTTAAAGGTGTTAGAATTTTGGCATATAAGTTCGTGACCGACACTGGCTGTTAAGATATAGATATACGTGACCAACCCTCAAAGGGTAAAAAAAAAGTTTGGGACCACTTAGTACCTTGTGGGAGAACCAGTTCAATTGAGCTCCAGCTAGAGCAAATAACATGGCAAACACCAGGGATTCACCGATGTCATGTCGTATTAACACTCCCCTTTTAACGATCTGATTGTTTCGGTCGTATATATATGTCTTACGAGCCACCGTTTTTGACGTATGTATACTCATAAATTCTAGCGGCTTCAAATCAAGCAGAAGAAAGCTGGTAGGCCCACATGTGAGAGAATGGGTCTGTGTGGTCAGTGCGCACCATATAAAAAAAAATCCTGCAGCACGCAGTGCATAATGAAAAAAAAAAACTTTTTTTTTTTAATTAAAATGCTGACTTTGTGGTCTATTTTCGTATAGTATTTATGGTTGTATTCTCGTTTTCTTGGTCTCATTGATAGAATGAAAAACATATTATAGAAATAGTGATTTTGATTGGTTTTACTATAAAAAGAACCAGGAAATGGAGCTCAAAGTAGGGGAATGCTTGATTTTTGCCGATGATCAAAAGTAAACAAATGACGTCAATCCCCAATAAATGTCCAACTAGCCATTCTAATATGCAGTCATGAATGGGTTGACATTATTTATACAATTATTACAATATTCCTAGGTAGTAGGTTGGTAGACAGCAACCGCCCAGGGAGGTACTACCGTCCTGCCAAGTACGTGTAAAGCGAAAGCCTGTAACTGTTTTACATGATGGTAGGATTGCTGGTGTCTTTTGTCTGTCTTATAAACATGCAAGATTTCAGGTATGTCTTGCTACTTCTACTTACACTTAGGTTACACTACACATACGTGTACAAGCATATATATACACACCCCTCTGGGTTTTCTTCTATTTTCTTTCTAGTTCTTGTTCTTGTTTATTTCCTCTTATCTCCACGGAGAAGTGGAACAGAATTCTTCCTCCGTAAGCCATGCGTGTTGTAAGAGGCGACTAAAATGCCGGGAGCAAGGGGCTAGTAACCCCTTCTCCTGTATATATTACTAAATGTAAAAGGAGAAAGTTTTCGTTTTTCCTTTTGGGCCACCCCACCTCGGTGGGATACGGCCAGTGTGTTGAAAGAAAGAAAGATTACAATATTGCAGTAGTCTGCATAACAGTAAATCTTCTATTTTTTGTTTGAATAAAAATTCAAAATAGAAAGCAAGAGTAATATCAGAGGGGCCTGGAGATGTGACTGATGAACAAAGAAAATGTTATCTTAGTGCCAGGAATGTCTGTATTGGTCATTCTAGACCCTATTTTGAATTATTATTATAATAAAAAAGAAGCGCTAAGCCACAAGGACTATACAGCACCCTATTTTGAAATTGTCATATTTTTCAATTTTTGTGAAATTGGCCAAATTGCAAATTTCTGACCATGTTATTGGGTAGTTGAAATAGGTAAATGGACAGTTTCTCATACTCAATCGACAGAAATAATGGAGTTCTAAAGAAATAGCTATGAGTTTGGTCAACTGGAACAACGGAATTAGCCGAAAATAGGGCTCAAACTAAATATCGTAAATATTGCCGAGGTCGCTAACTTCGCGAGAGCATAATTCCGTCAGTTTTCCATCAAATTTCGTTCTTTTGGTGTCATTACCATCGGGAAAAGATTCTCTATTATTTCATAGGATTTGGGGTTGTGACAGTCAAGGGGTTAAGCAGAAAGTGATGGATGTGGCCA